GTGTTTGAGAAAAAGTAAAGTCGAGCCACAAGAAGCCAAAAATAAATTCCCATGTGGACATTGTGACGGCCGTTTGGAGGTCTAACTCCTCTTTATTCCCTATAGACATTATGTATTATTTTAATACCTTTAGCCAGATGACTTTGGTTGCTTCCTCCTTGCTGAAGTTTCCTTGAGCAAGACCGTGTATCTGTGAAAGCTAACATAGACTTTCACTACCAGGATCGATATTCCTGGTAGCAGACGTGGTTGTTCATAGGCTCTGTGTACACGTTGGCAGGTCCAGAGAGGGCAGAGCGGTAACTGTTTCAACTTCCCAGATATCATGTAATGTGACGTCAGTAAGCTGCACACAGCACACTCGTGTTTACCAACCAGGCTGGTCTGTGTTTTTTCTTTTCTTTATACCTAAGGGAGGAGAGATGAAAAATATCTGAAGTCAGTGAGTACAGCTCAGCTTCTCTGAGCAGATTACGTCCTCCTGTGTAGGAAGCAGTTTGGATTTCAGCCTTGAGTTACCATTCATTACATCCTTTGAGTGGAAAAATAAAAAGTTTGGATTTTATTTTGACAAAAAGGCCAACTTTAGTTTGATGTCTAAAGAAGTAAATATACTTCCTCTGAAGTGTTTGTCAGCTGGTTTAATGATCTTTCTGTTGTTGGAATTAGGGGGGCTGTGTCCAACTTTGGTAGTCTTCATGCACGCTTGCCATGTAGCAAGCATGCATGTTTTCATAATTTCAAATTAAAGGCATTTGAGGAGAGTTTGACCAAAAGTCTCTGCCGTTACCCCCATATTTAAACAAGCACCACGTCTCATCCCTCACTCTGACAATGGCGTTTGCACGGTTGTGACTGCGGCAGCCCAGAGCAGTGGTATCCTTCGTCATAATATTACAAATTGCTGTACATCTCAACGCCCACAATTACAACCAAAGGGCCTAGATAGCTTTAACAATTAGCCACAGACCAAACATATAAGGACTGGTCATATAGTGCAGTGCTATTGTAGCATTCCTGTGTGATTGAGAAGGAAAAACATAGAAATCCGTCACAAGTCATGTTAAACATACTTTTCTTTGTCACATGGGACTACATTAGATCTCCACCTAGGCACAATTTGCTGTAAAAATAAAATAAAATATATATATATATATATGTATGTACTGCAACACTCTATAGAGCTCCAGCCTTGTCCTCCCCTCTACATAACCTGACTATACGACTCCAAAAAAAAAGAAAAAAAAGAAGAGAAATCCCCCAAATGCCTGTTTGGCAGCGATATTTAAAAATGTCTCTGTCTTTATTTCTCTTGCTTAATCTCTCTCTTTCTCTTTTCTCTATGGCACTGTGTATGCAGTGGGTTAGTGCTGTGTAGGCCTATACCGTCTTTGTGGTGCAGCTCCTCTATGCATGCCATATTTGTTGGTACAGTAGTTCCTTAAGATATGCTTTTGACATCACGGAGGAGAAAAAAACCCTCGGTGTGTTGACTTTATTGATGCAAGTGACTTTTGAAATATCCATGCTCAGAGTTTTAGTTTCCACTCAGAATGCTGTGTCTCTACTAGTGTCAAAATATGTGTGGCTAAAGAGTTTGCTTTTACAAAAGCACGGAGCAAAGACCGTTTTGCTGTCCTGCAAAAAGAAAATATGAGATTTTGTGAAATGAACATATAAAGTATATGTAATAATTCTATATGACCTGTGTTTCAGTGTATGTGTAAATAGGAATGGGATCTAGAGCTAGAAGTGGTTTTCATGTTATCGTACACTATTCCTCACAGCCCCATCTCCCTTTCTCTCTGCACTTTATCCCTGCCAGCCCCCTCAGCTGTCACTTCTTACTTTGTTTTCCCATTTCTATCTCTCGCTTTCTCCTCCTCTCTGTTCTTTTCTTTTTCCTCCTTCTCCAGTCCTTCCCTGTCCCCAGCTAAGTTTCACACCAGTACATTTTAAGGAGATGAAAGTGGGAGATGTGATAAGAAGGACAAGAGGGAGAGGGGGAAAAGAGGAGGGAGAATTAAGTGTTTACTATGCAAAATGCAGGAGTGGAAGATGATGAGGGGAAGAAGGCAACTTTTATAAAGCAACCTGAATAAATTGTGTAACAGGACAGTATACATGTGTTGCATGCGCCGTGTTTACCTGCGCGTGAGAGACACTTACAGTATGATACCTACATTAAAGTGAATTATCATAATACCATTTCAGTAACTCTGGCTCTTGTGTTTTACTACTGGATGAAATCCTGTTATGATGATGACACTGAGGTCTGTGCTGATTGGTGCAGTCTCTTTCTGCACCTAGAAGAAGTGGAGTTGAAAAAGATTTTAAGTGATTTTAACTGGCTTTCATTTGCTTTAATCACTGAACTCAACCTGCCTGTGTTTAAAACAGGCATATGTATGAAACATGTCTGTCTTTTGCACAAAACTCTTACTCTACTATCAGATTGTTTATTTAAACCAGTATAAATATTACTTGTATAAAAATTAGGCTATTGAATAACATATCAATCAATTTTGGTGCTCATGGTTCCCTTAAAATGAACTGAACGATTTGAATTGTAGAGAATCTAACTGATCTAACAATATATATTGACAAGTTTAAATATTTATATTTGTATAGGCGATCTTAGCAGCTTAAACTCTCTGGAGCGGGCGACCTAGTGGGCTTTAAAAGGGTTTTATACATCGACAACCTGCCTTTATTTGTCAAAACCTGTAGCCACAAAAGGGGACCCACATCTAATTGGGACACTGCTTTTAATTTAAGTTTTACTGTACATAAGCAATAACATGTTTATGGCTACGAAAACTGTTCTGTGTGAGGTAATTCAGTTAAAAACTGCAAAAACCTACAGATGAACAGTTTGCATAACAAATAAAAAAACAGGTTGGTCTATTAAAAGTAAAAGTAGTTAATTTAATAAATAAAAGAAACTATAAGATGACATTCTTATGACATTTTTGGTTTGGCACTGGGTTGGATCCTAGGCTCTGCACTAGTAATATGTTGATCGAAAACAAGAATCCTTTTAAGCATTTACTCCTTCTACCTCATTAAAAATCCCAGAATCTATGAATATGCACATTTTATTCATTTTGGAATTTTTGTTTCTGGACACAAGATTTCTCATACTTCACTGTTTAGTCAATTTTCTGTGCACTGCATGGCAGCTTAACATACCTACATCACACTTGTTTAAGTTGCAAACTGGATCATAATTCATAGCTTACGTTTCTTAAGTTTTCAGATGTCACATATTGACCAACCAACAGTCCAAAGCTAAAGATAATCAATTCACAATTATATAAAGTAAGCGGAAAGCAGCAAGCAAACACTTCTGAGAAGCACAACATGCACAATGTTTGGCATTTTTGCTTCATACTGTAATCAATTAATCAATCATCACATTAGTTGCTGGCTTATTGATTGTTTCTGCTCAACTTCTTGTTTATTGTTCTCTTTCATTAATCTTTATCACTGGTTGAGGTTTGAGCTCTGCTTTCTATTACATCAAAGTTTCAGGGAAAAATCCAACTTTAAATACAAAACAAATACAGTTGAGCTCAGACCTCATATTTGGAACACGACTACTGTTTTTGAACATTAAATATTTGTAGTAACCTTCAATTCTTTGCCAAACAGATGTCAAGCGGAAACCTGATCACAGGAAATAAAGAAATATATGTAGATATTTCAGAAATATAAAGACTTTATAGTCTAATGTATGTACTATAATTCCTTTAATAATGGAAACCACATTTTTGTTGATTTTAACCGCTTTGACCTCTTCACACATGCTCACTCACTTTATATTCAACGCTTAAAATATTCATATTCTCATTAATTTCTTTTATTCATTCATATGAAGGGGCCTAGCTCCTCTCTCATTTGCTGGTGGATAGAATCCTGATGAGCACATTAATATGAAGGATAAATTAAAAGCTATGATATCAGCCTCTCCCACTCTCTCCGAGCAAATCCCCTTCATGAAGCACAACCCCAGTTTTTCATAATCATCCAGCCAAAAGAAATCATCATAAATGGAGGAAATTGTACTAAAATAGTAGCAACATCCCTCATGTCAAGTTTCACATACAAGTCTTTTTCCCTCATCATTTATATAAACTAATTCAAATATTGATCAAAAAGTATCTGGTTATTATTGGATTAGTGCATTAATGCAGCACTTTATGGGGCTTTCTTAATATCGCTGCTGTGCTGCTGTCCATGGTGCTGAACTGGTGGGCAGCACTGCGAACTGATTCAGGTTACAGGTTTTCTGGACCATGTATGCTCAGTGACAGGAACACACACACACACACACACACAGGCTGAAATACACGCTTCACACTTGTGGACATGCAAACAGGGAGAGATGGTGGAGTGATGGGCTGCAACGTTAACAGCGCCCCGTGAGCAGNNACACACACACACACACTGGAGGGCGGGATTATCTTGCAGTCAGCACCAAACAGAGTTGAGCTACAACAAACCAGAAGGTGTCCAGAAGAGAGCCGCTGTCGCTGTTTTTTCCCCCCAACAACTTTTAGTTTTATATGTATATTAGATATAGATTAAGGCTATTTCCCCAGTTTTCCTCTCGACCTTGTTTTTTCTCTTTAACTCTTCAACTGTATTACTGACTAAACAGCAACATCCAGTAATCCTCTCCTGCGCCCTCGACATGGAAACATCCAAACTCAGTGA